ATTGCATTGCATACATACATACATACGTACATATATGTTTATATTTATGTGTTTTTTGCAAAAGAAACATACACACCACATGTTTAGCAGTCTTGGCAAAAGCGATACACTTTGCGGCCTGCAGGTCAAGGTCGGCGCGCCCCTGAGTATCCCACGAGTGTCTCTCGGCTGCGGAGATGAGTGAGGTTTAGTATGGCTTAGTTTTTGGAAACGGCGCCCGTACGGGGCCGTGCGTTCGAACACATTTCGGACCGGGTGCAGGGGGGGAGGGGGACTTGTTGGCGTCCGGTTTGCGCAGATATGAAGATGAAGATGTGCACTATGCAGATCGCACATCCGGAAAGCTTCTTGCTGGCCCACGCATAGATTGCAGGGATGTCAGGCCTCCCAAACAGGGTTTGGGTTTTAGGGCTTTGGAGCTCTTGGATTATCCCCAGAACCCTAACAGTGTTGTCAGATAAAGTTGCTCAGACATGGCTTGTAGACCCCAGGCCAATAGTACCATGCAGTCATACAATTTTCAATAATCTAGCTTCTTCTATTAATTAGGGCCCAAAGGAAGTCAACAACTTTTGAACTAGCTCAAGTAGCAAGGATTGTTGAAGCACTCTCCGGAAAAAAGGTCTCCGACAAAACAAAATGCTTCTTGTGCAAAACACATCCACGCGGTGGCGAGAGCACGATTTTCAAGCAACAAAGATCTCGAAACTTTCAATTTTCAAGACCCACCGACCACTAGACATTCAAAATTCGAACAAACGCCTCGCGAAGAAGTTTTCGTGAGCTTTTAATGCTTTCATTTCGGCACTTGCGAAAGCGCATGACCCATACGCAACGTGCGTTTTGCTCGAATTTTGGCCACGCCGCCATCTTGCACTAACAAGAAAAGTCTCCAATTGCACGGCCGCATATGGGCGCCGTCACCTTTTTTTTTGTATTGAGGTTTAGGCTTTACAGGCTTTGGTACTGCAGTGTTTTGTATTTGGGAAGTGGGGGTGGTTATGGTCTAGCTTTAAGGATTGGCATTTCAAGGGCTCATGGTTGACGGTTGACCTTGCAGATCTGAGTATTCCCGGCAGTTAGGCTGGCTCAAAAATCGTGGGGCCGGTAGCTAATTCGATACCGAAGAAGCTTGTTGGAAGGTGGGTTGATCGACTGAACAGACCATAGAGGGGCTTGGATAGGTACAGCAGGCTGGACATAGCTTTCGTTTCGGGCGCTGGGATGTGTTCGGTTGTGGGGTTGAGGGCTCCAACTCCGAGTATCCGAGCTGCTTCGGGGACTTGCAACGCAGATCCCTCGAAACTCGGGCTCTTCGGTGTTGATTGTTCTCAGTTCTGGGTTTCAGGTTAGATCCGCCTCCGAGAGCGTAAGAGACCTACTAGTAGAATCTAGAACCCATACCAGAGAGCAAAGGAGACGGACGTCTTCACCCAGGGCCCTTCGAGACTGGACCCGCGCCACCAACTGGCAGCGCCTTCGTCGACGATGGCTTCGACATTTGGGAGTTTCCGAAAATACGGGGTACCTTATTTTGGGGTCCTTACAATAAGGATCCTACTATTTAGGGTACTATATTAGGGTCCCTTATTTTCGGAACCCCCCCATTTCAGGGCACGGGGTTTCTCTTTACCATTCCGTTCAGAAGCTTGGGGTTCAGAAAAACGCTTGTTCAGACCATGCGGGCCCTGAAGTAGTTGTGGATGTCGCACCACGTCAGAATATCGCTCACAAATTAGTCCCGGAGGCCTCAGGTTTTTTTAGATTTTTCGGGGTTCTGAGTCCCGTGTGTTTGGGGTTTCGAGTCCTCTGACCTCGACCTCCCGTAGGTGGCTTAAGGCCTTATTTTAAAAAATTAGGGTCAAGGGTTCAGGGCCTGCCCCCGAAACCTCCAAACCCCGGATTCGATTTGCTTGCAAGGCCGAAAGTCCTCAAGGCCCCGACCCTGTAGAACCCCCCTAGACGTTACACCGCCCTGATTTATACAAAAAAAAAAGCCCTACCGGAAACCCGAATAGAATCCTGTTGACCCTCTCAACCCCCTCCCTGCCCCCAAGTCTGAACGCTGGTTTTTGAGGGTCTTGGGTCTGCAGTTGAGTGGAGAGTTTTCTTCAATCTTTGTCGTGGGCTTTTTTGGCAGCCCTACGTAAACCCTAAAGCCCTAAACCCAGGGCTCAGACCTCGACTGCCATGCCAGCCTTGTGCGAGTGTGTGAGTCGAAACCCAGAGCCTTTACAGTGAGCTCATGTTATAGAATGTTAACTTATGGTAGATTGTAGAATATGTTATGTATTATACCTATATAGAAATAATTTGCAGATGTGCTCAGGCCTTCCTCGGAAGAGGCGACGAACAGGGACCCGCAGGGTTCCTGAAGCAGCCACTTGGCAAGGAATTTCGTACAGGGTTGAGGGTTCAGGAGAGGGTTTGATCAGGCTTAGGGTTCAGGGTTTCAGTGTTCGGATGAGTTTAGGGCTGGAGTTTAGGGAAGAGGGTGGGATTGAGGGATTTGGGCAGGCTTGTGATTCAGGGTTTAGGGGCGTTTGGGTTCAGTTTGCATTACGTGTTCTACCTCGATGCACATCCATGGTAAGACATTTCCCCCCGGTCTACATTTGCAAGTCATGAATCTAATTAGGGATTTGAACTATTTCTTCATAATAATGAAAAGACCTTTCCTTGAGGATACGAATATGCTTGCAGGCGAAATCAGAAACCCACAACAACCCTTAAGTCAGGCTTCTGTCTTTTCTGTGTATCCCGCAACAAAGCCTTGTAAGCCCAGAAATCGAACCTCAAACCAAGAAGGCGTCATAAACAAACAAAGTGCAATTTTGAATACCCCCCCCCCCCCGGGGCCCGCACCCCCCTACCTAAACGCCTTCGCGTCCCCCGAGGAAGGGCCTTCTGCCGGGTCGCGAGGAGACTAACTGGTTCGCCGTCTTCCGGCCAACAAGCGCTCCTTGTCGAGAGGTTTAGGGCATTAGTTTGCCACTGTCTTCATTTCAGAGGATTTATGGTTGGTCGCCTGTGCAGGAAAAACTTGATTTAAGCCTACGGCGGCCAATCGAACAGATAACTCTTCAGGCCCGAACCCGGAACCCTAAGCCCCAGAGCCAAAAATCCCAAAGCTCATAGCCTGGCTGATACCCCGAAACTCCCAAACCCTAAAACCAGATCCCAAACCGTAGAATCCTCAACACATGCAGCTTAAATCCTTGACCACGACATCCTGCAGACTATGGGCTCGACCCTGCACCGTAAATCTACTCATCAGGCAGATGCCATTTCCAAGATGATGGATGGCCAGGGTACCGGCAAAGGCCTCAACGTAAAGGGCAAGTCTGCAAAGACAGGCTGCCTTTCAGGCCCCTGCTGGGTCTGGGCAAAGATTTCGTAAGCGTTGAGTTGGGATATGTGGGCTTACCCTGAATGCCCAGAAACTGGCTACCGTACTGTGGTCTATAGGGGCTTCGACGCCTATGTCTTAGGCCGTGCTGTTCGAGCGATCTATGGGCGTTGGAAGCAAGCGGGTGCGCACCTGTATGTTTTCTGTGGTTCCCGCAAGCTACGGGCCTCAGAACAGCGTCGTTCTAGCTTATTAGGTGACTTGCAATAACTCTTCAATGATACTCCTCTGGTGCAGTGTTTATTCGTGCAGTGAGGCCTAAGGCCTAAAACCTTAGACTGGTTTTATGTTCGGGGTAGGATGCCGACTCCCTTCACTACGTTAAGCTAGAACCGGAGGTCGGCGTTTGTGCAATCCCTGCTTTCTTACTGTTTGGTACTTGGCGGTGGCGTTTCTTTGTGGGGATTGCATGTGACCCCTGACCTTCATCACTGATACCTTTCAGTCATCGAACGAGTTCCCTGCGGTGCGACCTAGTCAGCTGGGCGGGTGGGAAAAAAAACCTTAGACCATAGAGGCCCACAAACCCTCAGATCTTCAACCCTACCAGGACACATAAACATGTCACAGTCTATAATCTGCCGTGTCAGCCCCCCTTCATATGATAGTATGTCATAGTTATATTCATAGTATATGGTGGTTACGCCCAGGAATCGAAAACTGTCAATGTTTCTCCGTGCCAGGTTTTGTGCCTGTGCTTCAGATCAGTGACAATGAGCACAAGTCGCAGGCCCTTACTCATAGCTCACAGCCTATGTAGCTGTTGGTTTGTGGTAAATTGTAGCTCTTGGTGTTTCGTTTCAGGGCGCAGGGTCTTTGGAAAGTGAAATCTTCCAGAGCCACAGCAACTCTTGCAACAGCTTCAAGTAACTGTATGATGGTACTTACTTGTGGCGTGCTGGACTGAACAGCTCGGCCCTTACAGAGAGTTTCCTGAGCTACACTCCAGTTCCCATGATGGAGAATCCTCAACCCATACCTTTATGTGCTAGTATATTCTAGTTATAGTATAGCTAGAGTAGAGTATTTTGTATTGTAGTTATAGTATATTGAATCCTGTTATACTGTGGAAGATGATTCTACGAGTGACCTTGGAGCCACTGAGCCGACCAAGTGATCTGTACAGTCGCGGCAGGGCCGTTGGGGCCAGCCATGGTTGGTGTTGACTAATTGGTTTAGGGTTTAGGGTTGAGGGTTTATAAGGGTTTCACGGTTTCGGGTGCCTTATAAGGTTGAGGTTCGAACGGAGCTTTACATTCTGAGCTTTTGGGTGTTGGGTTTGCGGATTCGACCCAGGCCCGGAGTGCAAAGAGAACACCGCACTCTTAAACAACAGCAGTAGGATGGTTGGCAGTGGGGTTTCAGGTTTAACTAGGTGAATGGCACGTTGAGCAGAAGGTGCACAAGTCTTATAAGATGCAAGGAATTCACAGCGCAGACCAAGTGCTCCTAGCCTACATACCTTAAGCCCCCAACACTTCAAAAAAAAACGCTTCCGCATTGCTCCGCACAAATTTTCTTGGCCATACTACAGTAAACAACGAAGTAGCGGTCAGATCAGCTGAAGCACCGGGCACTAAGGACCCTGGAGGATCCTTAATTACGGTTCATATTTTGGACTTCAGACTTGGGGCGTTTTTTGGGTAAGCGACGTTGCAACCTGAACTTCGCCGGACGCAGGTCTGCACCTCGCCCCGCGAAGCTCGGGTGCGACTTCCGGCAGCAGCCATCAAAGAGACCAGTTCCAACAAACCCCAACCACGTTGGAAATAGGTGCGTTTTGTTTTTGGTTGTTCGTGCTCTCTCTCTGCTCTCTCTCTCTCTCTCTCTCTCTCTCTCTCTCTCTCTCCGTCTTTCTCGCTCACACACACAGTTCCACGTACTTTTGCTTCCATGATCTGTTGCTTCTGGAGCTTGGCCCTGTTTGGTGTCAGGTTGACGTGCACGCGTTTGCGTCCAGAGCTTCAGTCCTGCACCCGTAGCCCCACTGTAGGCTTATAGGATGTTTCATATCCCGGAAACAGAGTTCGAGCTTGCAGCACAGCGCCGGAGGAAGGTCGCAGCGCAGTCGGTCGATATCCAGTAGCCATAACCATAAGTTCAGCCTGAGACTCTGAAGCCTGAAATCTACGGAGAGCCTTGAACTGAGGAGTGTATTACCAAAGCGACGAACATCGAAGTGTAGCGCTTTTCCGCCTCCGAAAGGCTTGGACCCGGACGGTGGTTGGCATACAGGGTTTCCCGAAATTTGTTATCTTCTTGTATCCGCCGTTGGAGCTGGCAAGGACCCGATTAATCCAATACAGTCCTCAAGGCCTACATGTCTGGGGAAACCGCCAGTAGTATAGAAGGTTCAACGCTACGGGGCTTTAGGCTCAGGAATTCCGGGGATTGCGGCTTGGAGTCCAGGCGCATTTGGTTGCTTCCTCTTCTTCTGCTTCTTCTTTAAGGCTTGTATTTTGAGGGTTGAGGATCCTTTGGCCTCGATCGTGAGTCGTGGAGCTCAGGGAAGCAGCGCATGGTCCTCAAGCACGATACGGGGAGAAAGACGTTGAGTTTTCAGTCTCTATGACCTATGCCAATAGGACTTCCAGTCACAGCAATGTTTACATGCTACCTGTCGTGATTCCTAGAACTCCGACCATCATAAGTAGGGGTTGTATTTTTAAGCTGATAAGACTCTTCGTTCTGAGTCAGACTGCAGAGCAGCCTTGGCCCTAGAAGCTTGAAATATCTTGAAACCGTAATGCTGTGATATAAACCCATCTGAAAACCATAAGCTCGAAACGTACTTTGAGCCGCTCTGAGGTCTAATACCAGAAACTGCTCAAACATGGGGCGACATGGACTCGGCAACCCGTCAAGGCTTTTTGCCTAAACCCTGAAAGAAACCTCAAGTCCTGCACCAAACACCCTCAGGCTACGGGGGGGTGGGAAGGGGGGGGGGGCAACTCGTTTTATTTCCAACCCCTGAACGTTGAGACCCAAACCCTAAGTACCAAAGTCAAATTCAGAGCAAAATCTAAAACACTGCGAACTTCAATTTCCTTAAATCCGATTTACAAACCATATTCCTTAGACACCCTATATAGCTACCAATCACAATTACCCATAAACCCTAAACCCCTCAGGTGCTCGCAGAGATGCTACGCACGTCCGAGGCAGCAGCGCAGCGACTGGAGGCGCATCAGGCACCTTCCGCGGCATCGGTTGGTTGGTTGAGGGTTAGTTCCCCAAAGGGTCCTAAGTACCTATGTAGGGGCATGCTTGCCCAAACCATTACTAGTAACAGTTACTGCTACGATGGAATCACCATTTCTTTCATGTAGGAGCTTAGGACCCTCAGGGTGGTAAGTCAGCCTAAGGATCGAGGGTGTTGGGGTTTTGGGGGTTTTTGGTTCGACTCCTCCTGCGCAAAGCGCAGGTGCAAGTCTTTCCCGGTAGAGTCGCTGCAGACCGGACGCAAAAAAGATGCCCAAAAGGAAACTTAGGATAAAGTCGACTGCGAGGGTTTGGGATTCCACGGTTGCGGTTTCGGCATCCACTTAAGACCAACAATGTACAAACATTATTGCTCAAAATCAACACAAACAGGTCCCGTGATTGCCTTAGCTTGTTTTGTCAATTCGGTGGTTTCTCCCGGCTTGGCGCATGTTGACTGTTCAAGTCTCCGTTTTGAGGAGTGGTGTTTTCTCCTGTGTTCCAGGGCTGGGGCTTGTGGGTGGCCTTGTATCAGGGGGGGTTGCTGACACCGTATGTCTAACCTGCTTTCCGTGAGTGTGCTTGTGTGTGTGCGTGTGCGAGCTTGATGCCGGGTCGTGGACTTCGTGTTTATTCCTTTTGCTTGATTTGGTTGCTATAGGTTGTGGGCTTTTGGAGTGAAACTTCTTACTTACACTGCCGGGTCCTGGCAGATAGATTTAGGAGGCGGACACCTGTGGCACCTCACAACACCCTGCCACTTCCTCTGCCCTGTAGATGTAAACTCGCGAGTCAGCCCAAGCTTGCTATTCTGACAAGCTCCAACCTAGATGTATGACGAACCTCCAACTTCCAGCTTTGTCGGTCCTGTCAATGCCTCAATGCAAGCAGGCTGGCACCAAACAGCTTACCGACGACGCAGAGAGGTTTGCATTCATCGAGTTGCTCCTCCAGGCCGAAGCTAAAGTGGGGCGTAGTGTGGGGTGTAGTGGAGGTAGTAGCAGAGGTTCTCGTCTTGTTCCATTGGCTGTTTCGGTGTTGTGGTCAGTTTCGTCACCTTCGGCTCATTTTGCATACTGTGCAGATGGTGAAGACAAGAGCAGGCGGACCTTGGGCTACAGTGCCGTGGTCGTGCCCGTTGTTGCCGTTTTCGTGGTCGCACTCGTCGGTGCCAGCTCATGCGGTAGCAAAGTTGTTCTCGTCGTCGCAACAGCCACAGCGGCTGTCGTAGCAAGAGCATTCAAGGCAGAGCGTCTGAGAACGAAAGGCGGCTGAACGAGAAACAGCACCACCATGTTCAGGAGCAGTACTGGAAGGGAACATATCCTAAACACATTCAGCAAGTTGCGCCTTCTCCCGACATTAGGCTGGCAAAGACTCCCACACTTAGAGACTTGGCCTACGTTACCGCGGCAGGAGTAATGCGACAGCAGCAGCAGCAGCAGCACCAACAGAGCATAGCAGAGCATTTGGGAAGGCAAGCTGAAAGCCCACTAGACGGGAGTGGTGTTGAAAGCGGGGCACCAAAGACTGAACCAGAAAGGGCTGCTCCCTGAGTGCACCCCAGACCCTCACGGACGATGATGATGGTGAGGAGAGCTGAGAGGGCTATGCGCACACGGCGACGACGACAGCATGGAGGCAGTACCACCACGATTGCACCTGCAACATAGCTACGAGTAATTAGCTGGTGAAGCATTGGAGTATACTGTAAGTTCATTTCCTGTCACTCTAACCAAGATCGAACTGCTGGGTCCATTCCGCTGGTACTTGTAGCCAGCATTCGTGACACAGCGTACATGGCAGGGGTCACGAAAGTGTGAGTGCGGCTGTTATCAGCCAACTTCGACCTTCCGTCTGTGAGGCTTTGGCCACCAAGTAGGCATGCTGGCATCAAACCCGTCCCTTGAAGCAAAATCATGCAGCTGCAGCCTGCAAGCTACCTGAAGCCCCGAGGTCAGTCTAGGTCCACGGCCAAAGCTTAAACTTGGAGGACTAGACCCTGCACCTCTCTAAAGCCCCCTCTCAGACTCGCTCGCCCGGCCAGGTCGAGGATCCTTCCATCATCAATTTGAACCTCTACGAGCCCGAAGCATTCGGCCTGGACTGGGTTTCAGGTTTTTTTTTTTTAATTTTTTATGTTGGGTTTCCAGGAATCAGGATCAATTTGCTGATTTAATGCTTCTTTATTAGGGGTTTTGGCTTAGGTTTTGCTTCTCGGCGTTGCTGCCATTACCGAAGTCTGAAAGCTGCATCCGAACATAGAGGTTGAGACAGTTTAGTCTAGGAGTCGTTTTCCCTTCTGGTCCCAATACGTAGTTATACTGAGTTATACTACAACATACCCCAAAACATTAGTCTAATTATTGTTGGCTCCCGTGTCGGAGGCCTCAACCGCGGACCTTGCAAACTGCAAGCACGCGACACCTCGACACCTAAATAATCGACTGTCAAAACCTGACGCCTTAAGCAGCAAATTTGTAAAACCGAAACCTAGCAGGCAAAATAGAAGCAATGGAAGATAACACACATCAGCTCAACCAGCTACTCAGTGACAAGTGGGCTCCAGGATGACTGGCTTTTGGCATGTGCGAGCTTCGGGTCTCGCGCTTTGGGGGTGCAGGTAGTGGATGGGGGTGAAATAGGAGTCCGCCTAGCATGCTGAAGGCATTCGGACGACTAGGACAAGTGCTAGCCAGCTGCCTGAAAGTGCAACCACCACCACTTGGTTTGCAAAGCCTTCAGCAGAAACCTCCATTACCGCCTTTTACCCTGAAGCGGTAGCCCAAACCTGTCAGGCGTTTGTCCAAGACCTTTATATTTCGAGTCTGCGGCTGAGGCTTTTTGCTGCAACCCCCCCCCTCGCCCCCCCCTCCCCCTTCCCGAACGCTAAACCCTGGGCAGGACTTGCCAGAGCGCCTGTTTCGGGAGGTGTCACCTCAGCTGCAGTTTCGTCCCGGTTGTGATGCTTCAGTTCTTTAGACTTGGGGCTTTGGGGCCTGTGTTGGGTTTTAAGCTTGGGATTACGGTCGCATTTCGCCCACTCTGCCTCCAAATAGGATGTGACAGAGTGCTCCGTTGCTGGTCCTGGCGAGCGATTTTGGTTGTAAGGTTTTGATCCACCAAGGTGCCGGAAAGGGGTTGTGCAGTGTACTCCTTCGGGCTCCCTATCTATATAGTTGCAGCGCAATTCACGAGTGTAGGCTATTCTACAAGCGGTAGGAGGTGTATGTGAGACCCGAGACCTGAAGCCCAGCGCTCGACCCAACTTCTTGTGCATCTCCCCAAGTACACCCCCCCCCCCCTTAAGTGGGCATGGATCCTAGCCATGTGAGAGGGAATGAACTCTCGACCCCGGGCCCCGAGGTCTGCAGTCGACTGTCAACTCTAAATGTGCGGTCTATTCTTGCTTGATAGGGGTGCCGGGCTCGCGGCCCTTTGTGTCTATATGTGGGTCCAATCTTTTCCGATGCTCGCTCGGCAAAAAAACCTTGAGAACTTTGCAGGAAGGTAATGATGCTTTCAGCCAGAGGGTTTACTCTTAAGTTTGGGGTGTTGGGGGCGTCCCTATAAATTTCAGGCTATTCTGCTTTGGGGTGTATAGGGCTTAGGGCTTAGGTGTTGGGCCCTTGTTTTGGGGGGGCTTGCGGTTTGGAGCCGAGGTATGTGGCGCAGCCGGACATCTCCCGACATGGGGCTTGGCAAACTGGACGGGCCTCGGAGCCGGCGTTCATGGACATGAGGCCTGCTTGCAAGTCGGGCTCCAGAGCCTAATGTAGGGGCCTAAATAATTACCATACTATTTTGGGGGGCTCCTTATTATTGTATAGTTATATAGTATAATATACATATACCCCAAAAGCCTTATTCTTATTATTAAGGCCCCTATATTATAGGCTCTACCCTCATCCCTCATCAGGCCCCAATCCCTTAAAGCGAGACCCTGAAACCCACATGCTTCGCCTGGATTGTCTCAGTGTGAGCGCCGACACCCTGAACGGGAGGAGAGCTTAGAGAGGTTTCGGGGTAGGCGATGGGGGATGGGTGTTTTTTGCATAGGTTCTGGAGGTGTCACATATGATTCAAGCTCGAATGAGGGTCTGTTCAACATCAGAGGCCCCGTGCTACATGACAACCTGCAACACGACTGCTGGTTGCGAGATGGAGCTCCCAGTATGAGCCCTCCGCCACAAAATCCTTGCCACAAGCCCTAAACTGTCACACTGAAACCTGGCGAATCTCCAGGCTCGGAAGGCAGGAAGCCAAACAATGAAGCGTGTAGCTCATGCCTGCTTCCATTCGACGGAAAACAAGCAACGGCCAGCCCCCCCTCCAAGCCGACACTCCCGATGTAAGTCGTTATTTTAGCCTTTGCCCCATGCCCAAGTTCTTGGACTTGAAGCCTCGAAGAGAAACTGTCCCAACAGCCAAGGAACCTCTACGTACTCAGCTGCTTGGCTTCTAAGAAGCCTTCAACATGAGCGGCTCAGGGTAGGATTCCACAATCCGGTGTGGATGTTTGTGTTTCTCAGCATTGCAGGATTGCCAAAACCTAGAAGACCAAAGGTCTTCACCTCGAGCCATAAACCGATCATGATCTTGCTCCCCCGAACCCTAACCTGATTCCCCGCAGCCCGGAAACCCTACCCGGAAGCCTGGGGGTCACCCTGAAACCCCAAGCCACGCGGAGTGCCCCAAGTCGAGTGCTAGGGTTGGAACAACCCCCGTACACCCTGAACCCGCTGAAATCCCAACAGCAAAACAGACATGGTAAGCTGCATCTTTAGTGTTCCATGTGTATGTATGTATGTATGTATGTATGTATGTATGCATATATATATATAAATAAATGTATATTAAGTGCGCTTCATCAGGCTTTGCGCGGAGATCAACAAGAGGGCTGTAGCAAAACAGAGCCCCAACCAAAATCCCTAACCCTCAACCCCAGGAGCCCTCAACCCAAAAACCATAGACCAAGGAGATGTTGAGGCTTCTCCTCGGGCTGTGATGTGGCAGAACGACCCGGAGGACCAAGTGACAGCTGTTCCTTGCGGGTTGGGCATGTCATGTTGCGGTTTTACTTTGGGGATGTAGTAGTAGTGAAAGTCCTACCTCTTCCGGGTAGCCGAAGTCGCTGGTGCTACGTGCCAGTGAGGATCCTATCGCGAGGGCTAGGGTTGGGGTGCTTGAACCTCAATGGTGTTTATCTCCCACATGTCCTATAGCACTTCATCTTGCAGACTTTCAAGTTAAGTTATTGGCACGTTGCAACGGTTAATGCGTCGTCAAGACCACATAGAAGCTCGAAAACAAAAATCCAAACCTAGACTAGACTGACCTTTCCTGGCTGCCTAAGTCGTGGCTCTACCCAGCAAAGCCTGCGCACATGTTGCCCGAACCTGTGGAGTGTTGATCATCCCCCTCCGTACCTTCCGTTGGCCGAGTTGGTTCAACCAAGGCGCCTTAAGATGTTCAGAAGCTTACAAGCGGAAAGCTCTTTGGTTTCAGGATGCTCTGAACCCCCTCAGCCTGCTCATGGCGTACGAGGAGGAGAAGGCGAGGAAAGGAGACTTGCAGGTGTGCTCGAGCCCGGCTTGGTTCAGTATATACATGAACAAAGCTTATCAGTCGTAACTGTGTAGTTTCTTCCGATCATCAAGCTTCTGAGGAGCCGCGCCTCACCCGAACCCACCTTAAGCAGATAAAGCCCCCTAAGAGAAGGTTATTCGGGGGAGGTTATTCGGGACCGTCGAAGACCTCGGGTTGTGGTCACGCAGAAGGTGAAGCCAGTCGTTTCCGACTTCGATGCCTTCATGCTCGGTTGCACCGTGGCTTAGGTGCCCGTAGAGAGTTCTGTTGGCTTGAACTGCCTCGCCGTCACGTTGAGGAAGGTTGTAAAGGAGTCTTAGGAGATTTCATAGAATTCGGAGGATTAATCAGTTTTTGAGTGCTGGTGTTTGTCAGCAGTAAACCAAATATGCACGTCTGACATGAGCACATGCACACACACACACAGAGGCACACAGACAGAAACACACAAACACACGTGTACGTACATGTATATACTTAATTTCATGCACACGCACAGACATACACATGCATACGCAGTTGCATACGCACATAGATACACACATGCATGCATCTAATATGGGTTTCCTAGATGCCCGGACTCTGTTGCGAATGGGGAAAGAGGCGCTTATAAACAAAACAACTAGACTAAAACACGCCCCCACACACGAGGCCATAACCCGAGCATCCCCTTTTCTTCGGTAAGGCTCGGGCAATATCCGCTTCGAGCCCCTTCCACCAGACCAGGTGGACATGATGTGCCTTAGCTTCGGGCTTTGGAGCAGATCCGTTGCAATATCTGTGAACTTCAATGTTTGGTCTTGAGGGCTGGCTTTGGAGCACATCGATTGTAAACTCTGGGTTTAGGGCTTGTCATATGGTAGGCCAAGCTTACTTCTGCTATGACTTGGTGAAGAAGCAAAAAAGCTGCACCCCTCACACCCATCAGCCCCACAAGTATGTACGCCCCCCGACTCCATCAGCCCCACAAGTACCAATCATGTTATCATGTGTTCATTCATGGAGGCGGAGCGAAAGACACTGCCCACTGTAAGAGCTACGATGACAGCCTGCGAAAGCCCTACTGTACGCAACCCTGCAAGCCTGGAGGGTCAGCGGTATTTTATGAGGCTGCCTACACAAGACCACAATAGTAATGCTATAGTTCAAAAACTTAGATCGAATTACTTGCACCATACCACCATTGCAATTCCTGAAATTGGCACCCTTCGTTCCTGAGCCCAAAACACAAAAGGCCCCGCAACAAAAACAACAAACCACATCAAACTGAAACAGTTCGCTCCCTCGGAAAGAGTGTTCAAGCCTAGGAAGTGGTGCCTGGGTCACATCGAGGAAGTCCTCTCCACCCCCAGCAAGACAGGAGCTGCTCTTGAGAGGAAGAGGGTTTAGGGGCGGTGGCTTACAGGGTTTAGGGTTTTGGGTACAGGGTGTATATAGGGGTCTAGCGTTCGGAGGTTAGGGTGTTGGGCTTGGGACGGATTGGGTTCGAGTGAGGGTTCGAGGGCTAGGATTGGT